ACTGTAACAGTAGGCCGAACTCAATTGATCCAATACCCAATAATATTGTGAAAATCCAATAGATTGTGTGACCAATATTATTGGTTCCAATAGATTGGGTGACCAATATTATTGGTTCCAATAGATTGGGTGACCAATATTATTGGTTCCAATAGATTGGGTGACCAATATTATTGGGACCCAATATATTGTATTGGTGCATGCCTAAGCATGCAATGCTCATTGATGCGCATACCCAATGCCACAACTTTTTTTCAAATGCGGCAACAAAACTTTTTTTGTAGGACTATCAACAGAAAAGTCAAATGTTTGCTGTTCGATGTAGAATAGATATGATCATTTTTTTCACAAATGATCTATTTCTTCTCCAAGAACTGGTCCGAAACGTCTGGTAAATAATAATTTTATAGAGCATTTATCCCTCTTTAAAACTATGAGTAAGAGAAACTTCTACGATCCTTTCTCATCATACACGACCAGATCCCTTACTCTTATAGCATGTAGTAGAAAGATTACGGATCATTATGACTCTCCAGTCCCAGTACTATGTCACATCCAATATAGCAGTAAATTTTCGTCATTGTACGCTCTACAAAATCGGATAGATAACTTTTCGGGTCGGCTTATTTTTGAAATCCGACGGGATTTTTTCAATGCTTTTTGCTCTTCAATGCCAGATAATAATAATCAAAAAGAATTAAAGTTATCTTTCTCCTATTCCACAAGAAGAGAAATTATGGTAAATTGCAAAAAAAATTATCACAATATTTTAAATATTGCACGTAATATCAAAAAGGTTCGCTCAAACAAATTGTGAATAACGTACTCGGTTGAGTAAAAGCAAGCTGTTAAAATCGGATCAAGAAGGTACAACAATCTGTTTTTTATTTTTCATTATTTGTTGTTGTCTCATGTTCTCATGAGAACGGGTATCTAATACTTTTTTCCCATCAGCTATTAGCGTTTGGCAGTCGAATAAACTATCTGGTCGGACAATAGATGGGACTCTACTTGATGATGGAGTATAATAACTCACACTGGTATTGTTTATATTAGTTATATTAATTTTGTTGTTTGATTTCACTAATGGCAAACGATTAAAGGTTTTAGGTTTATGATTTAAATTTGATGTTGTCAAAATACGATCAACAACAGATGATGATGATGCATGGTGGGAAAAATCATTTCGTGATTGATTCTCTTCTCCGTTACTATTTAAATCAGATACCAAATGTTGTGTCACTAGAGGAGGAGGAGTTGTGCTTGACGGATCTTTTGTGGTTTTCGTTGAAATTGAATTTGTTTTATCTTTTCCTCTTTCTTTCAAATGGATTGATGGTTGACATAAACCGAGCCAATAATCAGTTCTGGGTGTTAAAGGTAATTTTTGAATTCGAACCGGACTAGGCGGAAGAACTTTTTGTGACGGGAAGGGAGGTCTCTAAACAGACAAGAAACATAATTATTAGTACAGATAATAACTGATCCTATATGAATTAGCATTTATAAATCTTTTTCTTACTGATCGACAATTAATTTTAACGAATATCAACACGTCCAAAAAAGCTTTTGAAGACTGGTTGTCGGAGTTTAGTCTGCCATAAAATCAAGTGGGAATTACATTTATTGGCTGAACTCCGATCAACGATAGCGCAGAAAGAGTAGGAGACAATGTTATTCTGAGAAAACGCGATCGTTCTATCTATATTCTTTCTATCACGAACACAAAATCTGAACAGCTGGAAGAATATAATCTTATTAGTATTTTTGCACTAACTTAGTTCTCTAAAGAGAAGAGTTACTTTTTACATTCTTCTAGTTAACTTGTTAACGTTGTCGTACCCTCAGGCGCAGCTTGAATTTTCTGTTCCTGTATGAGAAGAAACAGGTTGCTGCGGATCTGCTCTGTGCAAGCAGCAGTAACCTGACGTCTAGCTCTTCGCACTCGAATTTCCACTCCTGTAAAAACGTTGTGAATAAGTCAGCGCTTAGGTGAGTAAGAAATTGTCACATTGCCGTATAGAATATCTTTTCAAACATACGGAAAAAAATGTACGCATTTCCGTGATATATCTGACTGAATAGAACCTAAAGGATCCGAGAATTTGACAATATCCACAACTAGATGCTGACGTTGACAGAATGCACGTGCTTGATTTTTAAAATTGTTTTTTTGTGAACTTTTTTTGTTTAATTTTGTTTTTAAGATAGGGGGGCTATTTAATTTTAAGTTGTTCCTACTTGAACATAGAGAATTTTAATAAAAACTACGAACAAATATACGGTGCAAGTGCACTCTATATATTGAGAGCTACATATTCCACGATAATTAATTTTTACCCTCACCCATATCATAATTTCATTTCTATTGTAAATATTTTTATTTGATAACGTCCTTAGCGTATATATCTCATTTTCTACAAGAAATCGTTTTTTACCATCTATTAATTATTAGCCGTCATCGAACTTACTTGATCTGCTAGTTTTCTTTGCTTTTGTACAGTATGATCATAATAATAGATCGATTTCGGTGGTGTATAAACATATTTTGGTGTATTATATTGCTTCAGTATTGTCGCATAATCTCGTGTGCGCTTTCGTTTTTCTCTATCATAGATGAGTCGTTGATTTAGATGTTCAACAAATTTTTCTTGTTCATTTCCGTTGATTATTGTTTGATCTGGACTATTCATATGAAGGGATGGCTTAATGACCATATCACTCAAAATCGTGCTTAGATCTTCTGTTGAAATGATAACATGTTCTTTTGCCATGGAAATTAAAATAATTATATCGTCATGTAAAATGAGATTCTTTTATCATCATCAACTAAAATTGCTATATATATATATATATATATATTCTGTTCCGTAAACAACGGGAGACACAGAGACTCAGAAAAAAAGAATTATTTCTTTTGGTTTTAAAAAAATATAAAAAATAAAGTTATCAGATAAAAGAAAAAAAAGGCGAAATAAGTTATATTCTGTAGCGAGCAAGTGTGTGGGATGAAAAAGAAAAAGAAGAATAAATCATACATACACACACACACACAAGTATTTCAGACAAAAATATTGGTTAGAATGACTCTTTCTATCCCCCAATTTTTACATTAAAACTTCAAATTTAAAGTATTTTCTTAATAGCTTACTGAGTTCACTATGTTAATATTTATAAAAAAATTCGTTTTCCTCGTCCGTGGAACAGATAAAGTTTTTAGTATTAGTTTCGAAAATAGTTTTTGTTGATCGCAGATATATTAGAATAGTATTATATTCGTCTAAAAAGTTAAAAAAAGTTATGAAATTGAAGAAACATTATACAATGAATTTCAGAAATTGTTTTAAAAGCGATCTAAATTCTCTCAGAAACAACAGGATTATATCAGAAAAAACTTCTTGATTTTTGCCCAGACCTTTTTTACCTAGAAAAAAAGATCATACTTTGCTAGCTAATATTTAATAATACTATTGTGTGAGACAGAACAAAAGCTCTTATTATGAACAGGAAGAACTATTCGCTCTAGACACATTTCTATATGCACTATTTCTTATTAGTAATTAGTTATTGGACACTCGCTTTATCCATTACGAATACAATAGTTTGCAAATAGTTTCTAATCGTTGCGCAAGGTGAAGTTTAAAAACATTTAATAAGATGATTGATGTTATTATTGTTGAAGACAAAAAGGAATTTTTACCAATAGTAATAAACTTCAAGAGAAAATGAAACACGAACGAATATATACCCCCCCCCCCCCCAACACAACTGTTGAATGAAACAAGAAACTTGGTTTTATTACATACGAAATTACAAATGATTGTCAATGTTTTGTCTAGATAATAAATTTTAAAATTGCTTTTCACAAACTGTTACTGTCGTCTAGTATTTCCACTTTTTCCCTCTCTCTTCTCTCTGTCTCTCGCTCTCTTTCCCTCTCAATATGCGTGTGGTTGTATTTCAATCGGGTATTTAATAAAATAAAGATTAAAATTATAATAAGTAGGATATATAAGACACTTGAATTTTTGATTTTTTTTCTGTTTCATTCTTTTTTTTGCGCATGCATGTTCACTCATTTGAAAAAAAAAAATTTTTTTTGTTTCATTTCAGATTTTTGATAAAAAATTCTTTCATCATTCGATAAAGAATCTTATATTGATCCGTTTTATAAACTGAGTATTTTCTAAAAAGAATTCAAGGATTTAATATCGCTATTCTCGAATAAAAGATAAATAGAAAATGATAAAACAATATTTACAAACAAGTTTGCATAGCTAACTCTTTGAAATTATCAAATAAATAAATAAAAAATATTCCTAATATTGAGATTTCTCAAACATAATATATACATTTTCAGATGGTTACAGAAGCTTTCTGTAACCGACGAAATGAAAGTAATGTTATAAATAGTTGTTACTAATTGGATATATCAATAATCCAACACACATAGATATTTTTATGCATAAAATACATTTGATTACATAGACTCATGAATCAGACGTTTTTCCATGCTGTTGTAATTTTTAAAATTTTATTATATCTCAATTACTCAAAGGCGTTCACTTTTAATATCATAGTTGACTCGAACACGGCAAAAAAAAAAAGCGTCCAAAAGTTGACGCTTTTTAGTGGACGGTTTTTTCATCACATCTTGGTATGTTTTTTTACTGGATGTTTCTGCTGGACGCTTTTTTGGGAAGGAATTTTTTCATATGCTTTTAGTCACATGAAAAAACAAAATTTGAAGAGATTTGAATAATATTTGACTCAGTTTTGACCGCACCATACTTTGGAAGCACGTCTGATCTGCTGGGCCGTTCCCCTATCGCAAGAAATCAGTCGTTTCTGAGATAAGCTAGTGCAGTGAAACGATTCGTCTATGCAGTATGTACTTAAGTACTAGGCTTATCACTTATCTGGATGAATTTTTGTAGAATCTTGTTGTGGACGCTTTTTTTACTATGCTTTTTCGTGGGCGCTTTTTTAGACGCTTTTTTTCTTGCCATGAACATCTAATCGATAGTGGTTATACTTACAGCGTTCTTATCTAAAAGTGTACATATGCTAGAAAACTTAAATTTTGCTTTGGCAAATGAAGTGTAGAAATTTTTTAATAAGTACATAAAATCTATCGACATTTTATTTTACGAGGACAAAAGTTCTTAGCTTTCTAGTGACCATTTGATCGCTAGTACAGTTAAAGTTCGAACGATGAATTTAGCTTTATTCTAATAAAATGATGTATTTGGTGTTCCCTTCTAGCGAGAGAGATAAAGGTTGATTTTTAAATCAACTAACTGCCTCTAAATGCATTCACGAAGCTATTTTAACGATAAAGTATTGCTTTTGAAAAGTGAACTAAAATTACAGTATATTTTTGAGGCTTCATTTCATAGCTACTACCAATATAACTCAAGTAAAAAGAAATGAGTCGTTTAGTTAGATAATTTGGTTTTTAACTCGACTGGACTAGTTCTGTAATATATAATTCAATCTAGAAACGAGTAATCTAATATGTAACGCTCATTCAGTCACTGTTTCATTAACCTAATAATCCGTTCGATCAGTAAGTTGAGCAAGATAAGTCGATAAAATGGTACATTTACCTGGCACCATGTTATAGATAACCTCCAGGTTTTGTATATGACGGAGCTTGGACCTTTGCAAAGATAATTTTTTCTTTAGAGATCTTCTAGTCTTGCTAATGTTTTACCTATTGATCGAGCTATTCTGAAATATTGCCACCAGCGTCTTCAACTGCCTCTTGTTATTGAGCGAGAAATATGCAAAAAAATAATTATGTCGTATTTAGAGTCCTGCATATCCTCTCTCGATCGAATCTAACCTTTTATGAATCGAAATTGTTTTAACAAAAATACGTTTCATTTATTCGAAAAATACAATGAAAAATAAATTATCTGCTCCTTTGCATATAGTGTACAATCTAATTCAAATATAGAGAAAGAATATATAGTCACACTATAGTTTATTGATGTTCAATATCACGGTCGCTAAAACTGCTATCTTCATCAAATTACTTTGTTTGTTTGTCGTTGATATTGACTATTTATCATCACTTTTTTCGTTTCTGAGCAAATTGCTTTGGGGATTACCAGTTTTTCTGAAATACCAGCTGACACTAGGTTGACAAAAAGAATGAATGGATCAGAACTAAAAAAATCAATCTCCCAGGGCTCGCATGACGGTGGTCGCGCAGACAGTACATTTAGAGATTTATAAATTTTAGACAGATAGCCCTTGTTGGAAAACATCTGTTGTTTTTACGACAAAATAATTCATCTAAAACACGAGAATTTTTCACCTAAAAACTTTTACAAAAGATCTGAATTATAACCATCAACGTTAAAAAGTCAGATAATTTAAAATTTTTTTAAACTCATCTTGTCCCGAAACTCAGAATAGAGATCTACTATTTACACTGTAAATTCCAGCATACTTATCTTGTCTAGTTATTCTAACAAATGAAAACTAATTATTCATAAAACAGAAGCTATTTCTAGTTTATTATCGCTCGTTAAGATTCTGGTTAGCCAATACAGCCAATACTTATTTTCTACATTCATAAAATAGTGTCAACAAAACTGTTAGTAATTTACAAAAACTATCTGGAAAATTTGCAAATTTAGTTCTTTTCCGTCAGAAATATGTTTGCCACACTACAGTACATGCGGCTGGTTTAGAGTTAAAATGATCAGTTAACATGACGTATCAATAAAGGACAGACGAGATGCAAGAAAGCGGACAATGTGTCAGAAACTATTTCTATTAAATATTTGCAGTGTGCCAGTGTCCATGAAACATAGTTTCAATCACAATTAAACTCATGACGAATAATAAATATTTTAGTGCCATTATTTTTCGGTTACTGCTTAGGTTTTTTTCTAACCAGTATACATGTCAGAATAAACTCTGTTTCATATCATATAGTTATACCATATTTATTTATTTAACAATTCTGTGCATAGATCGATCTATCATAATTAGTAAACAAGCAGTGTCAACGGATAAATAGAACTGTCAGTAGATAAACAAATTTCATTCGTCTTTCTTCGCTTAATAAGTTATTCGACTTGTCAACTGCATTCATCTTTTGCACTCACCTTAAGGTATAAAAAATAATTTTTGTTAAAAATAATAAAGTTACTACAGCGTTCGATATACACAGGCCACTAGTTGCTACAAAAAATATATGTAAGCAAATTACATTGTCAAACAAAATTAGAAATGATTCGATAGTAGAAAACGTTTTATTTCATTACATTTTTCGTATTAGACAAATTAAAACATTTGATAGTAGAAACCAGAACGATGATGCATAAAATTTGAGCGAATCATTACATAATGAATGTATACAGCATGTATTGCTCATTGCTGAACTGCCACTAAAGTTGATTGTACACCTTTTGTTACCACAGCCACGGCGTACGCTTGCAGCAAATACACCTTTCTATTAAAACAAGAATAATTGTATTGATATTTTTAGACAAATGATACGTTACCGACCCAACAACTATTTGAGCATGCCACTGATGGAACCGCGTCTGATTTAAATGGGTCGCGACATGCATCCCCATCACACGAATAACACGTCAAATTTTTTGATTCTTTTGAAATAAAACGAAAAGATGAATATGAGAAAATCTTTATGGAAAGATCTTATAAATAGAACTTTTCCTTCAAAATAAATGTCATA